GCCATGACAGTGAAGAGCACCATCTCAGCTCCCAAACACCATGTGAAGGAATAGAGCTGGGCTATGCAGCCAGAATAGGAGATTCTCTTGCTAAAAGTTGCTATGTTTGTCAGCATCTTGGGAATGATGGTGGAAGTGCAGACTATATCCACCACAGCCAAATGGAACAGAAAGAAATACATGGGTGTGTGAAGTTTGGGATAAGAAAAGATGGCAGCAATTATTGCTGCATTTCCGATCAGGGCAACGATATAAATGGAAAGGAAGAGAATGAAGAGGAAGATCTGCAGCTTGGGATGCTCAGAGAGGCCCATCATCATGAATGCGGTCACACAGCTCCTGTTCCTTACTGCAACTTGGCCACATGATCTGTTGATGCAAAAGAATGTCCATGATAGCTTCTCTATAACACGAATCAACAACTATGATAAACAAGTGTAGTTAAAGTAATGTTTTATATCAATAGACAGTTGCTTTCCTCCTCCTTTTCTAACAACATTTATTTCACTTCCTTTAAAGCTAACTGTTATATTGGAACATCTATATTAAAATTTAAGCATTTTGGCCCTTCTGTTTTTTTAAGCTCACATTTATTATTAAGAGTTCTAGCAGCATGGAATGGCTAGAAAGCACAACAGCTATCATAAACATTATTGTGATATATCACCAAATAGTAAAATTTCTATAACTCACAATATATTTTAGTGAGGTCCTGCAAGGACTAAGACAAACGATTGCTTCTTATGAAAAGACCAAAAGATAGTATATTTACATGTCATCAAAGTACTGCTTTTCCATGCTTCTGTTCTCTTACTACTTAGGTTAGCTCTGTTACCACAGAACACAGATAATGTTATAATGCGCTCAATGGGCGAGAACATGCCAATATATAGGTGACTACAGGGAGAAAAATTCCCAAAGCAACTCCATATTGGACCCTAAAGGAACAATTAAAATTTTAGTTTGTTTATGAAATGACATCACACAAATCCCCCCTTTCTCTTCGATTTATCATAAAAGTTCCTTGTTAAATTATATTTTATTGCAATAAGGCTAACAACCCCTCTGAAGATTCATCAGAACATTGCATCATTTCATCCCTGGTGTTTCCCAATCAGAGCAAATGAAATGAATGCAGCCTGGGATTGACCTACTCCCAATACTTTGCTCACATTCTCCCCCCACCCCACCCCATATCACCATAACAAGTCTCTGATGGCAATGTCTGACCTGTTCTACATGGCCAATGTAACATTAGAAAAGTTTTTGTGGCACGTTTTATTTTCTTATCATTATGTACTACAAACTTTGAAAAATGGTTTTCTTTTTCTCAATAGGTTAGATAATATCTTTCAATATATTATCATCAAACTCAGCACGAGAGTTCCTGAGGTGGGGCCTGTGGCCTTCATCAATATTTGGATGCCTGGTGCCATTTAGAATCAAGATGGTGGACCAAAGGCACCAACTTCCAAGGGAGAATGGGGGCTGATGTCACAGAGTGTGTGATATCAGGATGTCGGGAGTAGCCAGGACGGAGCCAAACACAGTGGCAGTGTATTGGCAGTACAGCTTCAGTGGCCATGACAACTCCTCCTGCTGCCGCCACCGCCACCAGCAGGAGGCTGATTTCCTGCTTCTTCCTCTCTAGCAGCAGCAGGAGGAGAAGGAGCCAGCTGTGCCACACTTAGCTCCATGATTTTCATCTTCTGCCACCTTTAAACATGGGGGGGGGGGCTTGGTCCTTAGGGGATGGCGCTCCTGTGGTAGAAAGCATGACTTGGGTATGACTTCACATGTTTTGGGGCATGCAATGTCCAAAACAAGTCAATTTTGATGCCACTGAAGATATTGTTCCCCATTTGGTAAAACTTCACCAGATTTGATATATACATGTCAGGGGTACTAACTTGAATAAAATGGGGGGGGGGGAGGAAAGCCCTATCCTGCATAATTGATCACAAGACACAGCACACACACACCATTTGGATGGCAATGTCCATCAAGTTTGGGGGGACCTAGCCAGCCCCCTCAAATATTTCATTGGGGGGTTGAAGGGAGCTTGGGCCCTAGGAGCTGGTTCATATGATACACATACAGCCCCCAAACTCACAAATTTCTTTTAATAATAATAATTTAATAATAATTTATTATTTATACCCCGCCCATCTGGCTGAGTTTCCCCAGCCACTCTGGGCGGCTCCTAATCAAGTGTTCAAAACAGTACAGCGTTAAATATTAAAAACTTCCCTCAACAGGGCTGCCTTTTAATTTCCAGCACCAGGAACTCCCCCTAGTAGTTAATAAGCCAGACAGTCTGTTTTCTATAAAAATAATACCACCAAAGTAGTTGCAGGTCCAGGCATCATGCTCCCCAACCCCCAGATAAATAAAAGACGACTAAGTCTGGTTTGGATTGCAACAGGCCACAACTTTATTGAGTACTTCTGGCCCACTCACTGGAAATGATGCGTAGGTCAACCCAGGCGTGGATTCCTAAAACTTACATGAAATAAGTGGACTCCCACAGGGACTGCTGTCTGGGGGAGTACCATCAGCCTTGGCCCACCTGGGCACACAGACATGACCACTCCCCTCAGATCTCTTTATCAGGATACCCCAGCATTTGGAGGGGCAGGTGGAGACTACAACCTTCCCTCCATCCAAGACAAAGAATTGTCCCAATGCCCCAACCGCCAATCGAGCAAAACAGTCACTGCCAAACCACTCACATCTGCATTCAAACCCTGATACTTCCTTCAATGTCTGCCAACCAAATATCATTTCCTGTGTAGAAAATGTCTCTTCTGAGAATGTAATACTGGGGTGCTGGATCACCCAGCCACTAGGTTGCAATATGCAGCACGTAATTGTGCAGCTAGCCCTTTTCCAAGCACAATTGATTCCCACTGGGACTGGGTTGCACCACTGTCGTCTCTCAAGCATATCGGACCAGCCAAGGCATAAGCCAGACAGCCTGTATTCTATAAAAATCATCGTAGTAAAAACAAGAATAAGAGCAACAATGGTATAATTTCCTTCCTCCCTTCCTCCATTCATTCATCAAAATGGGGGCTAGATGAACCTGCCTTTGCCTAGGTATTTTAAAAATAAACCTGTAATAAGTCAATTTATAAATTAATGCTATGACCGTTGATAAGATCTTTGAAGGACAATATAAATTTCTAGTTTTCTCTCTCTGCAGGTGGAGAGAAAACCAATCACGTCTGTTGCTTCTCTACGTCAGAACTTTGGTGTCAGAGAGTGTAAAAAAGAGGTGTGCTGGGAGAGGCTGTCGATACACAGAGTCCAAAAGTTTTCCATTCTCCTGATCTGTCATTGAAACTATGACAGTCCTAGAGCTGGTGTAGCTTATTTCCATCCCAGAGATATCTAACTCTCCCAAACAAGGACTAAGTGAGCCTGCGCTTTAGATGTGATGGTTTGACTAAATTTCATTTCCCCTTCCTCAGAGTATTATTATTGCTCTGTTAGTTACATCATGTTCCTTTTGCCTCCCCCCGCCCCGAATACTCTATAGTACCTTGGAATGCACTGGGGTTTAAATGTGTTAATGAACACCTATCAATTCAAATGGGGGATAGATATGGGACAAGAGATCCCACTAGATACTTTGTGGGTTTGAAAGCATATCTTGAAGCAAAACACCTACAAAGTAATATTTAGATGACACTTAATTCCTCCTATAATTAATCTTATATATAGGGATCAAAGATTATGGCAAAGATTAAAAGTGACAATATATTATTGCAGATATTACTGTTGTGCAGTTTGAAGTGAAAACTGACTCCTTTTGGAAATGAAAACTGCCTTTTTTTGGAAATGAAGCATTGTCAACATTGAAATTTGAATTATAAGTGTATTTGAAAAATGGGCTAAATGTTGACATCAGTAGAATGAATAGAACAAATCCTCATCATTTTCCAGGTGCCTCAGAGTTCCTTCTCCCAGTGGCACCATCACTTCAATTAAAGTAAGATTTAAAGGTAGCTGATAGCTTTCCTCAAAAGCCTGTCTACAATGAGATCAAACCAGTTTTTATCAGACATCCAACTTATAGAAGGCAATTGGCTCCAAGTTATAAAATACCAGCAACGATACAAAAGAGCAAATAGGGATGAAGGTAAATCTTTCATGTTACTTAAGAGTTTCTTCATAATGTAAATTGGTTAATTATTAAAGGATAATAAATGACTTGTGTTTTGCCCAACCCCATTTAAAGGGTTTGTAATATGTGGCTTGACATAGTATTTCACATAGCATTTTCACACAATCACTTAAATCTCTGAACTCTAACTTCTTGCACAAAAAATGTCAACTCATTTTCAGAGACTCACATATATCTATATTTAAGGGCTTTGAAACAGCCCAGTTGGATATGTATGGGAATATTTTAAAAGTGGATATTTCTGGCTGAGTTATGATGACTGCATGTACGTGTTTTTAAAAGGACACAGAAGATTTGAATATAACTATTTTCTGATTAACCAACTCTTAGAGAAGAATTTGAAATATGGAAAACTTTCAAAAACTGGTGGAAAGATTTAGGCAGCCTATTCTTACTAATGTTGATATTTACCGAGGATGAATATAAAGATGAAATTGAGTTATTTAGGCCTTATTTATTTATTATTTATTTATTTCAAGGCTTGGCAGTCCATAAGATGCTATGGCTAATATTAATACAATTTAGGTTATAAAGATCAACTAACAAGTTATTTAGGCCATAGTAGATGCTGCTCTTTAATGAAAAGACAGCCAATTTAATAATGAATGAAAGTATATTGTTAGCCATGAGACTCAAAAGAAGTTATGATTTTTTTTTGTGATCTCAAATGAAAGAACAATTGCTTTACAAATATTTGCCAGCTGAAAAAAGAAATTGCCAAATCTCTAGTGTGAGTGAGAGAGGGAGAAAGTGAATGGAAAAAACTAAGTTTCTATCTGGATAACCAAGTTAACACAATTTGCCTGTCTAGGTCATCAGCATCAGAGATATTGACATGAAAAACCAGTCTACTGCTATGGAGTTTACACTGGTCAGCCTAAGCAGCTCCTTAGAACTACAGACTCTTCTCTTTTGGGTATTTACATTTATCTATGCTACTGCTTTGGCTGGAAACTTCCTGCTCATCTTCACCATATGCAGTTGCAGAAAACTCCACACACCCATGTACTTCCTACTCATCAACCTGTCCTTAGTGAATGTGTTTTCCATCTCAGTTACAACTCCTAAATTGCTCCAGACTCTTTGGACTCACACAAAGACCATTTCCTTTTATGGCTGCATCACACAGGTGTATCTATTCATATGGGCTTTAGGAACAGAGATTTTTCTTCTCTCATTTATGGCTTTTGACCGCTACGTTGCTATCTGCAATCCTTTGCAGTACACAGTCATTATGAGGAAGGAAGTGTGTTTTGGCATAGCAAGTGGAGTATGGGTTGCTGGAATGGGCAATTCTGCCATTCACACTGTACTTGTGCTGCAACTGTCCTTCTGCAACTCCAACATCATCAACCACTTCTTCTGTGATCTTCCTCCACTTTTAGAGCTCGCAAGCTCTGACACCAGCCTGAACGAGACTATGGCTTTGGTGGCAGATGTGATATTTGGGATTGGAAGTTGTGGGTTAACCTTAATATCCTATTTGTTTATCATGAAAGCTATCTTTAGGATTCGTTCCACTGAAGGGAAAAAGAAGGCTTTCTCTACATGTTCCTCACATCTCATTGTAGTCAGTTTTTACTTCTTCTCAATCATATACACATATATCCGGCCATCCTCTGACTACTCCCCCGACAAAGACAAATTTGTTTCTCTCCTTTATACAGTGGTACCCCCTGTTGTTAATCCCCTTATATATTCACTAAGAAACAAAGATTTTAAAGAAGCACTCAAGACATTTCGTGGAAGAAGCAGGCTGCTTCCAATACTCCAAGAATGAACTCCATGTCCTTTTAGAGCAGCATTCTTAAAAATATGTGAACTGAAAGAAAAGGTTGACAACAGGATATTGTTTATGTTTAGCTGACGTAAGATGTTTCAGATGACATATTTTGTACTTGAGAATCAAACATGGTGCTTAAATAATAAGCATATTTTAGGAAGCAATCTATTTTAGGAAACAGCCTAAGTATAAGCTCCCCTGAACTCATTGGTATTACTGCTGAAAATACAAGTATAGAATGGCAGTATCCCTGTGTATAAACAGCTTCTTTAAAAAAAAAAAAAGATACAGGGGGTTTCTGAGAGAGAGTATACATGTACATCAGTGCACACAATTGGGGAACATGCCTTTTGCACATACATAAGCCTTTCATGTACCTTAGCCTTATTTAGAACTGCAGAACTCAAGCATGGAGGTCTTGGGTAGTTATTGCAGACACAATTCCAATACACGCATTGTGAAATGGTGTCCCATGGAATGTTTGAAATAGTCTACAGTGGTACCTTGGTTTACAACCATAATCCGTTCTGGAGGTCTGGTTGTAAACCAAAACAGGTTGTAACCCAAGGCATGCTTTCGCCAATGGGTTCTCCCCCCCCCAAAAAAAGAAAATTGGTTGTAATCCAAAAAAAATGGGTTGTAATCCCCAAAAAGGGACACACACTTCCAGGTTTGACGTGGTTGTAATCCAAAATGGTTGTAATCCGAAGTGGTTGCAAACCAAAGTGCCACTGTAATTCCTAATATTCTGCCTGTTTTTGTAACTTGGAACAGTGCATTATATTATCTAAAGTTCAATATATACAGATGATGTTGCTGGATCTCTTCAAATTGTCTAGTTAGCAATGAATATTAGGAGCACTTTGTGAGTTTGTGAGTTGTAAGCCTTTTAAAGACACACATAGCTGTAATTTTAAAAAAATAATAATGATGATGCAATGTACAATTGTGTATGGATTTAGGAGTAAAGACAAGAACCACTGTAATTTTCTGTAATTCAATAAAAATATTATTCTTAAAAATGGACGTATCAGCAGCCAGTTGAAAGTTAATTTTGAATTATATTTAGCCACTGAACCCAGCATGAATATACTTAACTTAAACATATTGTTCCTTAACCTGACAGTGACCTTGTTAAATGTGACAATTGAACTGAACTGAACTGAAATGAACTGAAATGATATTCGAACTGAATTGAAGTGGAACAAAAACCAAAGGAGTAATGGTTTATCCCAAACTGCTGAAATAGAGTATGGACTAGGGATGTAAACATTCAGTTTGCATGTAAAGCTGAATCTACCTAATGCGAACTTTTCTAAACAACATGCAACCCAAAACACAACCATAATATGGAGAAATATGCATACACTAGATAGAGTGCATTAAATGCATATATTTCTGAACATAGCATACAAAATGTATTATATTAGAGAAAGTTCTTTGCAAAAGAGAGAGTGTGTGTAATAGGAAAGACATGCTTTCAGATATGTATAGTAGGAGTAATCCACAGTAAAAGGTTGACAATTTTACATAAGGACTTTTTTCAAGACAAATGTGTAGAGCTGATTTTAGGATTGGAAAAATGGGAAACCCAAAACTACAGATTAATCCTTTCAGATTAGACATGGGTGTGTGGCAAGGGCAGGAGCTGTGGGGACAGAAAAGAATTAACAACAACAACAAGGTTTAACTTGCTCTTTCAACTATTGGTTTAACACAGAAATCAGTGTCATGCCCTCCAGGTTTTGTTAGGATGCGGGTGGCTCTGTGGTATAAACTACTGAGCCTCTTGGGCTTGCTGATCAGAAGGTTGGTGGTTCGAATCCCTGCAATGAAGTAAGCTCCTGTTGCTCTGACCCAGCTCCTGCCAATGTAGCAGTTCGAAAGCACGCCAGTGCAAGTAGATAAATAGGTACTGCTGTGGCAGGAAGGTAAACGGTGTTTCCGTGCACCCTGGTTTCTGTCACAGTGTTCCGTTGTGCCAGAAGCGGTTTAATACTGCTGGCCACATGCCCCAGAAAGCTGTCTGTGGACAAACACTGGCTCCCTCGGCATGGAAGCGAGATGAGCGCCACAACCCCATCGTCACCTTTGACTGGATTTAACCCTCCAGGGGTCCTTTACCTTTTACCTTTACCTTTTAACACAGAAATCAGTGTCATGCCCTCCAGGTTTTGTTGGAGTCCAATTCCCAGTTATGATAGCCAATGGTAACAGAATATTGGAGGGAGCTATACTCCAAAAACAACTGAAGGGCAAAACATGGGCTGTTCCAGTTTTAACAACAAATTGTCAGGAATGAGCTAGCTCCGAGTGAATGTTTGCAGCCAACAGCAGAAAGCAGCCAGGAACAGAGAGACTAAGATGTTAGTCAGGCAGGGGAGAGCCAGGGAGTTGCAGACTTCAGCTCTTCCTGACCGTGACAGGCTGGCTGATAAGGCAGTGCAGTGGTACCTCGGGTTAAGAACTTAATTTGTTCTGGAGGTCCGTTCTTAACCTGAAACTGTTCTTAACCTGAGGTACCACTTTAGCTTATGGGACCTCCTGCTGCCGCCACACAATTTGTGTTCTCATCCTGAAGCAAAGTTCTTAACCCAAGGTACTATTTCTGGGTTAGCTGAGTCTGTAACCTGAAGCGTCTGTAACCTGAAGTGTCTGTAACCTAAGGTACCACTGTAGCTTAGAGCAGGCTAGAACGCAGGCCAAAGCTCACAGGAAGCACAAAACAGCGCAAAGAAACTCAGAGACAGCCTCTCTGAAAAGGAAGAGGTTGGAGCTGATCCAATAAGTCCACACAGTCAGTGAATGGGAGGGCTGCTAGACAGGAAGCAAAACAAGAGATGTAAGGTGCGAAAGTTCGATATATTCTGTAGACACTGGAAGGAGTCTTCAGAAGAGTCATCTTGAGTAATGATTCTGGAGGCTTTGTTAGAGCCATCTGGAGCTGTTTGTTTTGCAATAAAGTCTCCTTTTTAAATTATCTACACTTACTGTGTTAGCAAGCTGGAAACCTGGACTCCTAACACAAATGAATTTTGTTTTCCTTCAACCGAAGAGCTGCAGTGTTTCAGGTGTTTACAATACTAGCTAGATGACTGCAATTGCTCTTCCCTGCTCCTGGTTCTTATATTCGTTTATCTTGAAAATAAGAATGTTTAGGGGTACACAAAATAATATGCACAAAATATAATGCTGCAACTGCAAAACAGCATACAAATTAATTCACCAAAATACTTTCCTTGACATGCACATATTTTAAATATAGTTGTTTATTTCATTCATATATTACATGCGTATATATATTATGTCACCTTTACCTTATAATATTTCCAGGCAAAGACTTTTTGGTAGTGTTCATAGAAAAACCCAATTATATTAGGGTTGCATCATCTGACAAAAACAATAACTTTATTTGTAGAAATAGTAGTGGCATGATTCACCCAAGGACACACTCATATTAATTTAAATTCAGTGGGAATGTGAATTTTGCCTCAGGTTTCTAAAAGTTGAATGATAGGAAGTGAATTTGACAAGTGTGCTAAACATGGAAATGATGCAAATGTACATGTGCAATTATTTTGGCAACAGAATTAATCATCATCTCCCGGATGATACCTCAAATGTCTTTCTCCCAGTGGCACCATCTCGTCACTTAAAAAAATATTTAGCGCTGGTTACTAGCTTTGTCTGGATAGTATGCCTTCGATGATATCAAACTGGTTATTATCAGAAATCAGGTTGATAAGAGGATATTGGCTCTACATTATAAGAAGGGGAAATAAATGAACAAATGAATAATAGGAACAAACAAGCAAATGCAAAAACATATGAAGGTAAATATTTGATTTCATCTAACTGTTTCCTTTGAACCTAAATCGGCTGCATAAAATCAGGAGCATGAAAAACCCCTGGTACATGCGCCTGCTCCAAAAGGTTTCAGCTAGAGTCAAAGAATATATGTACAAAGTAGTGCTCCAATGATATTATTCATTGGTCAAGTTTGGAAAGATAAACTGAAAGCTGTTTATTAAGTTCTGGATGGTATGTTGCAGGCTGGGCATATATTATTCACATGTGGGGGTCTTGCCCAATAATGGCAGCAGTTTGGACTCCCATTTTCCAAAAATTCTCAGCAATTGTACTACAGATTATCCCTCCAGAACTAACATTGGCACTGCTGTTGATTTCTCTAATGGAAATGAAGCCATTGATTTACAAAGAGCTCATTCTTTTTTTCTTTTTTTAAATATTTTATTAAGGATTTTCTTGTTTTACAGAAGTAAGTGTAATGCCTTGTATTTTTTTTCCCATGTAACATTTTTACAAATCTGTTCTTATTCTAATGCCAGCTGCTATGTTAGAAATCTCCCATAATTGGTCCTCTCATTCTCTTCTAACATTAGAACGTTGGTGGAATAAAGTGTGACTCTTTGGTGAGAGGGAGCATTAACCGCATCTTCAGTGACTGTGCAGGAAAATATCTGGAGCTTATTAGTTCAAAGGAAACATGGTGGCCACTTTTGGCGACCAGTAATAGGCCAATTTGACCTTCAGATGTGCAATTCTGATTTTGAAGACATTCGGTTCAAGCATAGGATCACCTATGATGCTAGGTTTACCTGATAACATGTTTTCAGGCATTCTGTGCTCCTCTCTAATAATTACATCATATTACCAAGCAGTTGACCCCTACTGTAGTTTTCCTGTTTCTATTCTCTATTGTTAGTGTTTTATCCTTTTTAATGTAATTCTTCAGCTAATTTTGGGTGGGGAAGAAATAAATACACAATAAATACATATAAATAAGAAACTGTTGTGCTTTGATAAACCCCTTTCAAACCACTTTTTAAGGGGTTGTAAAATGAGGCTTTATATAGTATTATATTTTGATATGTATTTCATGTGCAGTGTCATGGAATGTGCCACCAAGATTGTCTGCTGGGTAATGTAGCACTGAGGCTGAAATAAATTTCATTAAGAGTAGAAATATGATTGTGAGTATGTCAGTCTCTGCTCAGGTACTGGTGGTTAAAACCTGTATTTGAAAGGAGAGATGGGGGAGCACCCTTCTTTAAAAGAGTGGCAAAGTAAATTACAGCACAGTAAATTATTAATACATAAAATAAGATATAAGCTTATTCTATGAATGAATATGCCCCACCCCCAAAAAATGATTGGAACAGCAGGGCAAGTTTAACAAGAACAGAAATAATAAGAGTTGATATTTGAATGATAGAAATGAGGTGTTAGAAGTTGTATAACTGGATTTAATTAAACCACAATTGGATTATATCAATTCAAATTAAATGATGAAGAATAAAAAATACATGATTTTTTGTCAATAAGGAATAAAATATCAAACAATAATCAAACACAAATCATCAAATAGTCATTTAAATTTGATGATTTGTGTTTGATTATTGTTTGATTGAAGTATGAAGTATAAAGTATCTCTCTTATTGAATGTATTTTTGTGTTATTTATTTCACTAGTAAAACTTCCTTTTTAGTATAATTTTTAAAAATGCAACATCTCACAAAACTGGTTTAACCAGATATCATGGTGAAATGAGTATATCCTTTATGAACAAAGATCCAAGATATCACCCTAAACAACACAATCTGATGGAAGTTTTCTTGGATGAAACCCTCACTATGTTCATTGGGCCTTGCTCCCTACAGAGCTGATGGGCACAAGCAATTGTGCATGATGAATTAGCCCTTGTCAGACTTTGCATCTGTATCTGCAATCACAGGATCCTCCACCTGACTACACCCCCCTGAGTGGACTGATACATCTACCTGTACAAATCCTGCAGCACTGCAGCAATACATTTCCACTCAGATATAGTTAATTAACCAGCTTAAGTATGAACAAAATGGCCACAGAGACCTTTTGAAATGGAGGGAATAATCAGCATGTTTCAACAAATGTTGACAATTAACAAAAACTGATATAAACGAGGGTAAGCATTGTGTAATTTACTGAAACTACTTGGTGGTTCTCATCCTCATTAGGTAATACAAATGTCAGCAATTACTGCTAGCAGTGTTCTTTTTTAAAATTCCTGCATTTTCCTAAGCAGTGGCCATCTTTTGTGTGTTTGTTTTGGGGTTGCAGTGGGAAGTATTGTTTTAGTAATGTTCAATGTCAATGAGACTATTTTCTGAGTATAGTGCAAGGGATAACTTCAGAGTCCACATTTTCTATGATGACAGACTAGCTTGCCACAATCTTAAAAATGACTAGTGAAGTCAAATAAGGGCCAATTTTCTCCTTTTGGCACAAAAAGAGAGAAAGAAGGATGGTGTATGTATAAATTTGGATCATTAATTCTACTTAATATAATTTATCTGTTTAGGACACCAGTGCCACGGTTATTGAAATGAAGAACCAGTCAGTTACTATGGAATTTATACTGGTTGGTTTGATCAGCTCCTCAGAACTCCAGACTTTTCTCTTTGGGTTATTCACATTCATATATGCTATTGCTTTAGGCAGTAATTTCCTCCTAATCTTTACCATATGCTCTTGCCGAAAACTCCACTCTCCCATGTATTTCCTGCTTGTTAACCTGTCCTTAGTGAATGTGTTTTCCATCTCTGTTACAATTCCTAAATTGCTTCAGACTCTTTGGACCCGTGCAAACAGCATCTCCTTTTATGGTTGCATCACACAGGTGTATCTATTCATATGGGCTTTGGGTACAGAGCTTTTCCTTCTGTCATTTATGGCTTTTGACCGCTATGCTGCTATCTGCCATCCTCTGCAGTACACAGTCATTATGAGGAAGGAAGTATGTGTTGGAATAGCAAGTGGAGTGTGGGTTGCTGGAATGGTCAACTCTGCTGTTCACGCTGGACTCATGCTGAAACTCTCCTTTTGCAGCTCTAACATCATCAACCATTTCTTCTGTGATGTTCCTCCACTTTTAAAGCTCTCCTGCTCTGACACTAGTCTGAATGAGACTATGGCTTTTGTGGCAGATGTGATTTTTGGGATTTGTAGCTGTGGGTTGACCCTAGCATCATACTCATTTATCATAAGAAGTATCCTCAGAATTCGTTCCACTGAAGGGAAGAAAAAGGCTTTTTCTACATGCTCCTCACATCTCATTGTAGTCAGTTTTTACTTCTCCTCAGTCATCTACACATATATCAGGCCATCCTCTGACTACTCCCCCGACTCCTCTCTAGACCAAGACAAATTTGTTTCTCTCCTTTATACAGTGGTAACTCCAGTTGTTAATCCAATCATATACTCACTGAGAAACAAAGATTTCAAAGATGCTTTCAAGACAATTACTGCAAGAGGAAGGCTGCTTCAAATTCCTCAAGGTTGATTGATCTACATACAAATATAAATTATATATATATATATGTACACACACATACATACATACACACACACACACAAATATATAGAAATACTATTAAAAAACAGTAAACAGTAAACTGTTTGATTACTTCATGAACAGTCAAATATGCTTCAGTTCTTCAGAACTCGTTTGCGGAACATATGATTCAAGCTTTCATGATTTTCTCTCTAATAGATAATATATTTCATTAAAAATACTTAAAAGTTAACACTAAAATCATCCTTTTCACCACTAGAATGGTTCTTGAAGAGGAAACGATGCGATTTCATAGATAGAGGAGTCCTTCATAAGTACTATAACAGGCAATGATTTTATTGTAGTAACTGGTTTTTCCTAAATGTTATAGCTAAAAGCCTGTAGCTATATTTACCATATTCCTTCTCAAGTAGGGGTCCTTTGAATGCTCTCAGACACCAATCTGCTATATTTTTTTATCATTCTTTCTTGCCATCCAAATTTATCTCTCACCAGATTGGGGAATAATCTTCCTTTTTGGCAGGCAGAAGATTATTGAGAAGCCTGAGCGAGTGGAAGATTAAAACTAAATATCATAATATTTTGACACACACCACTTAACTGCTTCTTTAGGAGGCCTCGTATCAATGTTAAATAGTACTGGAGATAAAAATTGTGCCCTGCTGGGGCAGACAATATGAACTTCAAAGCCTTGCAGAATGTGCCCCCTCACCACGTTTAGCAAGAGTGGGGGTGTTCTGGCATTTGACATTGCCACTTATCTTCCCTGGTTCATGATAAGGTAATAGTGATGGGGTGGGATGCAGCAACAGGCCAGGTAGGAGGTGGCTCCTGGTTGATTGCCCAATCAGGAGAGGAAGGAAGCCAAGCTATTTGATCAGTTTCCTCCCCAAATTGTCCCTTCTTCTTTTAGAAGTAATGTACAAGTTTTGCTGGTTGCTTGTTTGAGTGTTGAGTAGTAGTTCTGGGGGGAGGCCCTGATAGGTTTTGGGACTCCCCCCCCTTTTCTATGGTTATGCATGGAGTTAATGGGATTGGTTTAATAGGCCTTTCCAGGCAGGAAATGTAAGATTTTTTGGGGAAATAAGGGCACTCTGTGGGAATCTTACATTGTTTTGTCCTTTAGAACCCCAGAGGGCCATTTAAGCTTGGGGGGGGGCTGACCGACACCTGTGGTTCACCCAATAACTGCTGCTCACTACAGAATGCCTGGGCAGGGACTCAGGGTCAGGAGCACTGCATGAATTGGCACTCTCCAGAGTCATCACCATGAGCAGGAGGATCCCTGTTTTGCAAAAAAACATTAAAATTTGGATTAAAAAACAGGTGTGTTCTGGAAAGAAGGAGATAAAAAAGACCTGCTAAATAAATCAGTCACTGGATGCCAAAGTTTTGAATTAAAAAGGACTTTCATCATGGTGTTTCAAGTGAGGTGAGTGGTTATTTCTTTCTCTACATTTGCTACTTATGATTCCCTGAACCTCACAAAAAGAAAGAATTAATTATCCAAATGGTGTGCAGGAGGAACTGTAAAAAGTAATTAGAAGCTGGGCTATGCAGTTCTCGGTGGAGAGCCCTAATTAGAACTGGCAAAATATGATCAGAGATTAAGGAGGTTCAGGCTGAAAAAAATGGTGGCGGCTCTGGCGCAGGAGAAAAAGAAAATGGCCTCCTCTGAGGGGCGGGGGCTGAGAACATTTGATGGAATAATTGGAGAATATTTCACATAAAAAATTCTATTTACTTGCATGAACTTTTCTTTTCAATATACAGTGGTACCTCAGGTTAAGTACTTAATTCGTTCCAGAGGTCCGTACTTAACCTGAAACTGTTCTTAACCTGAAGCACCACTTTAGCTAATGGGGCTTCCTGCTGCTGCCGCGCCGCCGTAGCACGATTTCTGTTCTCATCCTGAAGCAAAGTACATAACCTGAGGTAATATTTCTGGGTTAGCGGAGTCTGTAACCTGAAGCGTATGTAACCTGAGGTACCACTGTATCACCATAATGTGAAAGTAGAGTCAATCTTGGATTTGGCAGGCTTCCCTAGGGCCCATGGGAGCAAGCTCGGATCTTGGAGGATCTAAATTAAACAATCCCCCCAAAATAGTGAAACATACCCCACAACATTGCTTTTCTACGGAGATATTCATTTGGAATGCTAACTTGAAACATTAATTTGGAACACTATGGAATACTAGCTCATTAAAAGACTGAAAGACTGCTTCACCATAAATCTTATCAAAAGAAGGAGAGTTGGCACGTGCTGAGAGAGCTGTAACATAGCCCAGAGCCTGGAAGATAAAATGTTGAAATGAAAGATGGGACTATTAAGAGAACTACGCTGAAAAAAAACAATGGAAGGATAACAACATAGAATGAACTGCCTTCTGCATGTTAAAAGAAATACTGATTTGCTGGACACGATAGAGAGTCATACACCGGAACCGCGAAGGCAAAACAATGGATTAAGATCGGACTTATGAAACTGGGGAAAAACAAGAGAGGTGAATGCAGGAACAACTGAAAGAGACTTTCTCCAGACATCCAGAACATGGGAAGTCCTCCTTTATTTATTTATTTTTTAATTCAGAATGTATAATTGGCTTTGTTTGTATTATGATGTGGCAAGATTTGATCTGAATTGCTATCATTTGGAATTTTATTAATTTGAAAATCAATAAAAATTATTTACAAAAAAAGAGATGAGATGCATATGCTTCGTGTGCTTATAAACAATAATACATCAGCTGCATATGTTGTTTTTGGGTTTTCTTTAATTCTTCAACTAACATATAAATAAAACAATACAACAGAGTGTACTCAGGGAGAAGCGGAGGTGTATCGCAATTCCTTCAGGCTCACAGCAACCAAGATAGAAGTTAGGGACTATTTCCCCCTTATGCCTGAGGATCAGGGCCTTTGGAGGATCTGGAGAGCTTTTAGTTCAGTGGACTCTACCTGCCAGCATCCTGTCCCTCAAATATTCTTTTTCTGGGCTTTCTGCCTACCACTGCCAGTGGAGACATTTCCAGCAAGAACATTTTGCCCATCTTGGTTCCTCACTGATGTAGTTCAGAGCAGGCAGACACCAGTGCAACATCATAACTTGAGTTTATTGGAAGTAAAGGTAGTGCAGAAATGAGCGCTCCCCGCTTAAAACGGGGGGCGCCCTTTGCGTGGACGCGCGCAGCCCCTAGATCTGGAGCGGCTCCAACAGCATAGGCTTGGTTTGCCTTCCCTCAGGTGGGATACCTGGAGGTCTCCGCCTAACTCAGTCAGTTGTCCAATCCCACCTGGGGGAAGCGTTGCCAAGGAGACCAGGCCAGGTAGGGGAGGGATTACCTGCCCACACAATAGAGGGAGGATCTTACCTGGGAATCCTCGGGTGGCGGTATCAGGCCTTGGGCGGAATCCTTTAGTCCATCTTCCTCTTTGCGGCGGCGATACCAGGGTTCCCCGTTAAAGGGGTTTCTGAAGGGAGGCTTTGACCGTACGCCGAAAGGTCGTCATTGCTCTCCCCTGCGGCGTCGGCGTAACGGGGGTGGCTATCTCTGCTTGAACATATGTTCTCCAGAGCCAGCCCATCCCCCACACACACACTTGATAACCCTGATGCTCCCTAGGTCCCTGGCTGGGGACTGGGGAGGGAGAACGCCCAATGCCTGAGCCAAGGTCTACCCACATTTGAAATTTAATAAAGTTGTGGCCAATTTAATCCCATAGCACGTTGTCATGAGTCGTTATTCCACATGACGGGGGGACCGCGTGGGATCTGGGGACTCCGCCTGTCCACACAATTAAACAAACAAACATTTTTATACCACTTTATATTTTTAATAAAAATCTCAAAGCAGTTTACAGCATATTAAATCAATAAAACAATCGGCGGGTGGTGTTCCTCCAGCCTCATGAGGAGCCTCTTCAGTAGTCCACTCTTACCATCATCAGTTTAAGATTGTGCGTCAAATCTTCTTTAGAATCTGTTTTATATTATGTATACAATATAATGCAACAATTGCAAAACAGGATACAAAGATATTAATCAAAATACTTTGCTCTTACAATCTCACTGCAGATATTTCCGTCTGTCAGTGCAAAGACTTTTGAGTACTGTTTCTAGAAAAGCCCAATATAATTACTATTGCATCACCTCACAAAAAACAATAACTTTATTTTTTAGAACATACTGTGTTTTGTTTATGAGTTATTTCTGATGCACTCCCATCATGTTAGCTGTTTGTTAGTTTGGTGGTAGAATTAGTACAAATAGAAGTGGCATGAACCACCCAGGTTATTACTTTGGCTTCTAAGGGAGTCTGGATTACCCCTTAGGTATCTAAATATTGCATCAGAAATATGATTAGCAATGTTAATCTTGCATGTGATGTCATGCTCCCAGTGGCACTATTACTTCACATAAAGAAATATTTAATGGGGCTGCTCGCTTTGACTGGAAAGG